ATGTTTTGTTTTAAAACTCAGCATTTGAGGACTTGTCTGGCATTTGGTCAGGATGCAGACGTGCAGAATTCAAGTCATTCCAATGTGCTGCAATGTCAGGTCTTTGGAACCAATTGTTCAAAACTGGAAGTTCAACTTTACTTAAGGGAGAAATTGAAGGCATAGGAATGGACTGAGCAGGGTAGCGAAGGTTGGACAGCTTGCTGGGAGATGGCAGTAGAGGTGAGACTAGACCTAGGACCCTTTATCATAAGTAAATTCTGTGCATTTGAGGACTACATGCAGCAGTCAAAAGGCATTCATGAGACTCCAGGTGCTCTGCACAATATGAAAATAATAAAAGCAATAAACAGGCCAGTTTTCAGTAGCTACATGCAAAGACAAGAAAGGAGCAGATGAAATGAAATTTAATAACATTTTGATTGAAGCCAACATATAGAAAATAATATTCAATTGAAACATACATCAGTATTATGAATGAGGAGATATTTTACATTTTCATAGTGACTTTTAAATTTGTCATGTGTGTTCCTAGAGTGTTTCTTATTCAGAAAGGCTGAATCTTATGGATTCAGTATGACGGTATGGCTTCTGCCCCGGACAGGGCTCTATATTCATTGTATCTATCTATCCATCTATCTATCTATCTATCTATCTATCTATCCGTCATCTATTATCAAATCTCCCCCCTCCCTCTGTGTGTGTATATCTGTGTTCAGGCATGCCTGCCTGTGCTACTGTGGGCATGTTTGTAGATGGGAGAGGGTAAGCTAGGGTGCTGACTCTCACCCTCCATTCTGTTTGAGACACGGCTCTTACTCTTCATTGCTGCATATGTCAGGCTAGCTGGCTGGCAAGCTTTTGGGAACTGTCCTGACTCTGCCCCCCACCTCACCACCAGTGCCCTAGGGATTACAGATGCATACTCTGCATTGTCCAGCTTTACATGGGTTCTAGAGATCCAAACACAAGTGCTCAACTGTGCACAGCACGAGTTTTACCCATTTAACCAGCCAGCCAGCCAGCCAGCCAGCCCTGAATTCTTGGGGATCCGAGGGCTTCAACTCAGTTCTTTTGCTAGGTATCTAATTTTGTACCACATATCATGTTTTTCAATTTCTCTACTGGTACTAGACACCATAATACCTGGCCCCTAGTTACTACATCAGGCTGTGAAGACAATTAATGAGATAATGTCTGAGTTCAGCAGAAGGTCCTTTCTGATCGAGTTCAAGGTGCTGTTCTTTTTATGTGTCTATGGGGAAGTCCCATTAGCACGCATGGGAACTATGTATGCTGTAGCAACACGGAAACAAAGCTGGCCAGGCAGGGAGTAATAGTAGGTTGCTGACAGGGATCTGCTCTTCTGTGTGGGTGGGGACTTTCTGGGGGGAGGGCTAGAGACTCACAAAGTCTGCTTGTACTACCACAACGTGAGGGCTGTCATCTTGGCTGGCTGTTGTGTAGGGGAGGTGAGAAAGGTAAAACCAAGGCATTAAAGGCTTTTGTCTTAATGAGCACATGTGTGACTCCGAATTGTCCCCTCCTGCAGGGCACGCTATGGAAAAACAGACAGAACGCTGCTCTTTCTGCATTTGGGATGTGGAGTTCAAGTTTACTTTTTATGCTGTTTTTACACTTTTACCTTTCCAGGTGGTACTGCTCAACACAGCTTGAATCTGTAGGTTTGAGCCTCACTGAATATGGGCTCTGGCCTCTGCGGGGCAGAGCTGCTGTGTGGGAAATGGCCCAAAACCACCAATGTTGGCAGATTTGCTAACTTTAGGAAATTCTGGGGTTGTAGTGGATGACTTCTTGCTCCAGATATGAGGTTTCAGCCTCCATATTCCTACATGGCGTGTTAAAACAAAACAAAACCCTGAGTTAATGGAAAATCTTTTAAAAATATGCAATATTATAATGGTAGCTCAAAATGTAATTTAAATGTATACAGTAAATTTAACTATGATGATAACTTTTTTTGTGATTTGAAGTGTTTTTAGTTTTGTTTTTTTCTTAATAGTTGACTTTTTTTTTGTTGTTCAGCAAGGTGGTTCAGCTGGTAAAGGCACTTGCTGCCAATTCTGAAAGCCTGATTTCCATACCTGATTTCCACACACAGTAGAAGGAGAGAATAGATTTTTAAATGTTGGCCTCTGATTTTCACACAAGGGCTATGACACACTCTCTCTCTCTCTCTCTCTCTCTCTCTCTCTCTCTCTCTCACACACACACAGACTATATACAATTTTAAAAAATGTTTTCTTTTTATTTAATAAGCTGAAAGTAAAAATGTCTGGGATAGTCAATTGTCTTATTTTCCTTCATACATAAACATTCTCCAAATTACAGGAAAGTACAGGCTACCCCCACAAAATGCTAGGCTTCATGGTTATTGCCCTCTTGCTTAAATTTCCAATTAGCCAGTGATCAAATACTTTTGAACCCTGTAAAAACAGTGCCCTGAACTATAGGTGGGTGTGTCTTGCTTTTAAAAGCCAGGCTATTGCTTACAAAAAAGACTCACTTTTTTGTATATGGCTATTCCACCTACATGTATGTATGTGTATGCATTATATCCATGCCATGCCCACAGAGGCCGGAAGAGGATGTCAGATCCTCTAGGTCTGGAGTTAACAGCCCGTTGTAAGCCACTATGTGGCTGCTGGGAATTGCATCTGGGTCCGCTGCAAGGGCAGACAATGCCCTTAACTTCTGAGCCATCTCACCAGTGCCTCCTGAGAGACTTATAATAGAACCCTAAAACTGAAAAAGCCCTAGGCAATGACAACACTACTCAGTGGGAAATTTAAGAACAGGGACCAGGCTTTATTTCATCCTTGTTCCTTGGAATCTGGCACAATGGCTGTCTAGTAGGTAGTCATCAGTGTGTGTGTGTGTGTGTGTGTGTGTGTGTGTGTGTGTGTGTACCTGTGTGTACAGAGCCAAGAGAACATTGGATATCCTTATCTATTGCTCCCCATCTTAATCCCTGGAGATATAGCTTCTCACTGAACTTTTGTTTATCCAGCTAGGCTGGTGGCCATAAAATGGCAGCATCCCTCCTGTCTGCTCTCCCCACACTGCTGGGGTTACAGAGTATACAGTCACACTCAGATTTTTACGTGGGTGCTGTGGGAGGGGGGGTCTAAACTCAGGTCCTCACGGTTGCACAAGTGTTCTTACCCACTGAGCTAAATTCTCAGTCCTTATACCATTGTTTTTACTTTTAAATCACATTTCTAAATCTTTGGGGGGGTATTTATTTTTATTTTATATGCATGAGTGTTCACCCAAATGCATGGCTGTGGCACACAGCCATGCAGTGCTCAAGGAGGCCACACAAGGACATCATATGTATCCCTGGGATTGGAATTAGAGGTGGTTATGATGTGAGCCTCCATGTGTGTTCTGGGAATTGACTCCGACTCCCCTTGAAGAGCAGCCGAGGAGGCTCTTACTCTCTGAGCCATCTCTCCAGCCCTCGTATTATTGTTTTTAAAGACAAGATTCCACTGTGTAGCCCAAGCTAGCCTTGAACCCATGATCCTTCTATCTCACATTTCAAGTGCCTAGTTTCTCTGACATTTTTGTGGAACCAATGAATGTATAACTGATAAAGAAAGGGAGATCGTGGCCTATTCTCTCCTTTCTTATTCTGCGTCCCTCTGGGCCTTGTTCTAGCCGACTGAGCAAGATGTATGGTGAACTCATTTATGTCCCTTGCTGACTTTTTGTTCCAGTAACTTCTTCCATATGCGGACTCCCTTTAGTGTGAAAAGGTTTGGTTCCTATTTTCTTTTTTATTTATAGTTTCCTGAGTTCTCAGGAAAGTTCCTGTCTCTGCTTGCCTGCTCTCCATACACATGCCCAGGAGGGCAGAGCAACAGTGCTGGTGGCTGTCACCTGGATAAGCAGGTTCTCAAGAGGTTGGTTGTTACTTCCAGGCAGCTATCTCCTGGCCAGCAATGTCCCTGGTTACCTTACAGGCCTTTTTCAATAGAAATGCGCTGCCCATGTCTCTCTGAGCAAATGTCCCATCCCTCTTCAGGGGACACAGCCCAGATGGTGGGCATGGGAGTGGGAAAAGACCACTGAGCCCCCTCCAGGTGTTGTAGCTAGCTGATAAGGCCTTGGTGGGTCTGTCCACCAGCCTGAAGGGAAACCAGAAATGTAGCCAGCTAGGCTCGTTAAGATTGGACAAGGAAGCCATTTCCAGGGGTACCTTGTGCTTTCAAACTGATTTGTGAGTCACCACCTGCAGAGATGGGCTTCGGCATTTTGATATCCATTTTTGGATCTAAACAAATGTTTGCTGAACAGTTTTGGACTTGACCTAACGGTATCCCCAGGGCGCAACATGCCAGTGTCCTCCCTCTGGGTGATTTAAGGCTGACAAACCGTCTATGGTTTCTCGGAGTCAGAGCCTAAGAGCCACCTTTTCCAGGACCCCACTGGAGCGTGGTGTTGTCTTTCTTCCTGGTCAGGTTAGGAAATGGTCCTTCTCTTGCTCATCCCAGTGAGGACTTGCATATGCTGGGAGAACTGGGAGCCTTTCCACCTTCATGGCTATGTTTTCTCTGGGCTGCCTGGGAAACAAGCCTCAGGGTTTGATTCAGTTAGAGCGATGCACAATGGAGCAGGCTACCTGTTGAGTCCAAGACTGTTCAAGCCACAGAATGATACCTGCTTCATGTGAGAGGCTAGAATCCACCATGTCTAAGGCCTTTTCCAGAAGGAGGTCTGGGGTTTTCAATATAGTAAGGTGTCTTATTGGAAGGCAAAATATGGATAAGAAGAGGCACAACGCCATGCTGTTTTCTCACTTGTCAAACAGGCTGCATTGTAGCAGTATCTATTCCCCATGCAAGCTGAACTGCTTGTCATACATGATGCTGTGAAAAATGTGCAGAATATCTGGTCCAGGATCTGGGATACTGTTAACTATCACCACGGAAGGTTCCAAACAACAACGTCAGGAGGTCCTGAGTCATTCTTTCTGTAATAGTTGGTGAGGCACTTTTGGCCATTTCTCCTGATAATCACATCCCTGAATTGATGGGAACTGGGTGTGGCAGCCAAACAGAGGAGGAAAGGCGACATGGGATTGCAGGAATGTGTGAAAAAAGGCTGCTCTCCCTCCCCTCCAACCACTACAAGTTCCAGCTTTGGTCACCATCCCTGTTAGAGCAGCGAAGGAGGAAGGAGCCGGGAGATGGCAAATAGGCGGGGTCACCATCCATCACCACTCTCCCTGTCACCATCCTCTGGACTCTTTCCAAGTAGCTGAGATTATTAGTGATGAAGCAATACAGCACCTAGAACACTTCCTGGCTCTCAGAGGCTTCCACCCTTTCTTGGGTGCAGCTCTTGCAGACCAGCTCATGCTGCAGAGGAAACGCTCAAGTGAGCTGGTCTCTGTCCGCATTCCTCACGTCTGCCTTTCGCATGCTCCAGTCTCCTCTTCCAGACTCCAGCTTCCATTACTCCGCACTTGACCCTTCTCACAGCTTACTCCCCCTTCCTGTTGACAGAGGACATGGAGACTTTTAGGATGATAAAGAAGTATCCCCAATCTTCCTTCTGGATTAGCCAGGCTACTACTCCTCAGTCACTTTCTGCCTTTCCTCTGATGGAAATAGCTTAGCCTGCCACTTCCATCCTGTCCCAACACTCTTTCCTGAACATTCTATTGTTCCTAAACGATCTATTGCTGCGCCTCTGTTGGCTTGTTTCTCTTAGCCAACGAACACACCCATTTCCTGTTAAACATAAAATCATGCTCTCTGAAGGTACCATTGGATCATCCTGCTTCTTTCCACACTGCAGGTTTCTATACAGAGTAATTCTCTCTCCTCTCTCTCTCTCTCTCTCTCTCTCTCTCTCACCTCTGCCCACTCTCCTTGGATGATTTCATCCATTTAGACAGCACTAGCAATTGTGACAGTCCTCCAGCTCGTTGTGTATCCCAACCAAAGCTCATGGTGTTCTCTGAACCAGCTGGCCGTCCTCCTGCCCCCTCTTCCTCCATGAATAATGCTGTCACCGGCTGTGCAGTCTCTAGCCAGAAGCCTCTGTGTCATCCTTCTTCGCCCCCAGCCTTTGCCTCTCATGAGTCACAGAAGGGTTTCACTGGGGCATAAGCTCTGGTGTGCAGAGTCCTTTTAGGTGGATTCTCAGACCTATGTTCCTCCTCCTTCCAAAGTTGCCATGCTCCTCACATCTTTTCACCTTTCACCTGAATTACTGCCCCAGTTCAACTGGAAGTTCCTTCCACATGTTTTCCCTTGCCGTGTCTGAATGTTCCCCCACACCCTAGTTCATATTTTGAAACCCTAACCCCAACATGATGGTGTCAGGAGGTAGGGCCTTGGGAGGTGGTTGGATCTTGAGGTTTCTTTTTCTTTCTTTTTTTTTTAAGTTATTTTTTTAATTTTTTTTTTTTTAGTTAGTAATGAGCTTGCTTCACATGTCAATCCGAGCTCCCTCTCCTTCCCCTCCCCCCCACCAAAAGCCCCACCCCATCCCATCCCCCCTCTGCTCCCCAGGGAGGGTGAGGCCCTCCATGGGGGACCTCTAAAGTCTGTCAGAACATCCCAGGCAGGGCCTAGACCCTCCCCCATGTGTCCAGACTGAGAGAGCATCCCTCCATGTGGAATGGGCTCCAAAAGTCCATTTGTGTGCCAGGGATAAAGACTGGTCTACTACCCAAGGCCCCATAGATTGCCAAGGCCTCCTCACTGACACCCATGTGCAGCTGGTCTAGATCAGTCCCATGCTGGCCTCTCAGCCATCAGTCTGGGGTCCCTGAGTTCCCCTTTGTTCAGGTCAGCTGAGATCTTGAGGTTTCTTCTAAGGTGTTAGTGTCTAGTGAGGGGACAGAGTTGTTTCTTCTTCTTCTTCTTCTTCTTCTTCTTCTTCTTCTTCTTCTTCTTCTTCTTCTTCTTGGTTTATTTATTTATTTATGTATAATGAGTGCTGCCCTGTTTTCTGGTATATCTGTAGGGCAGGAGAAGTCATCAGATGCCATTATAGAAAGATGGTTGTGAGCCACCATGTGGTTGCTGGGAATTGAAGTCAGTATCTGTAGAAGAGCAGCCAGTTCTCTTAACAACTGAGTCATTTCTCCAGCCCCAGAGTTTCTTCTTGATTCTAGGCAAGGGCTAAGCAGTAAGGCACACTCTGTGAAGCAGGCCACAGGTCTTCCCAGATAGTAAACTTGTTGGCTCTTCTCTATGAACTGTTCTGCTTCAGACAGAGGCAGGCAAATTTCTGTGTTTAGAAGTCGTCTAGTCTATGGCATTTCATATAAGCACTCGAATGGCCTAAGACAAGTCTCTCTTAGATGCTGCTGATGTAATTAACTCACATACAGTGTTGCCAGTGAGATCCGAAAGGGTCCTCTTGCGGCCTTCACAGTCAGGGCTCCTTAAATTTTTTTTTTCAAAAATTAAATGTTTGTGTTTGTCGTTTTTCCCCCAAACTCTCAATATGTAGCCCATATTGATCTCAAACTATCCATCCTCCTGCCTCAGCCTCCTCAAGTGCTGGGCATCTAGGTACGCCGGGCCACACCCAGGAGTTAAAATGGCATTTAATGCTGATACATTTCTCCCTCCCTGACTGACTTTGACATACCCATGTAGCTTTGGAGCTCTCAGAAACAAGTGCCCCACATTCTAGGCAAGCTGAGTTTCTGGTCCTTTCCCACAATGTCACTTCTCCTCATTCCCAGCTCCGCCAACTCCCTCTTCTTTCAACTCTTCTCTTGACAGATTCCTTTTATTTATTTATAATAAAAATATGTGTGGGAGGTGGGTGGGGTGGCACAGACCTGAAATCCTAGCCCATGAGAGGCAGAGGATCAGAAGTTCAAGGTCATCACCACCTACCAGTTACTCAAAACAAAACAACAACAAAAACAGATGAGCCTGGGGTGTAGCTCATTGGCAGGGTGCTTCCTTAGAACATGCAAATGTCTTGGTTTGCTCCCCAGCAATACAATCAAGGTGGGGAAAATAGGTGTATTTAAAATCAGGCATGATTTGGCTGTATTTATTTTTCTACTACACAAACTCTGTAATTTAAACAAAACAAAATAGGACTAGAGAAGAAAGGTCATCAGAAGTCATCAGCAGTTAGGCTAGACAAATAATACATGTGGAAAAGGTATAATAATTGATCCCCTGCTCCTATTCTCTGTTATGATAATTTTACTCTTTCCAAACCCCTCCCTCCCTTTTTTTTGTTGCCTGACTGGCCTGGAACTCTCCCTATAGTCTGGGTTGGCTTTGGACTCACAGAAATCTGTCTGCTTCTGCCTCCTAAATGCTGGGATGAAAGGAAAGCACCATCAAAACTGGCTTTTTCCAATCTCTTTGGTGGATATTCCATTTCTTTACAGCTTTACTGATGTATCCCTGACAAATACGATTGAATACTTCTTGTTTTATTTTATTTTGGTGGGCCTTGGTGGGCCTCCAACTCATGGCAATCTTCCTGCCTCAACCTTCTGAGTGCCAGGATAAAACTGTAGACAATTTCGTAACAGTGGAATTAGCATATTTATTGCATTACCTAGTTGCTTGTATTGTGTGTGTACTGTGTTAGTTTTAGCACATTTTAGCAAGTTCAAAGTATATTATATAGTATTATGGGCTATACTTACCAGGCTGTGTATGAGAGTCCCCAGAGCTTAGTACTATTTCGGGGGGAGGTGGGGGAAGGGGTTGCAGAAGGGTCTCACTCGGTAGCTGAGCTTGGCTTTACTCGCATGGCAGTTCTCTTGCTTCACCCTTACCAGTACTAGGCTCATATGCTAACTTACACCTAATTTATCATGGAAACTGGATCTTCTGACAAACACGTCCACGTTTGCCCACTCCCAGCCCAACACCCTCGACCCCACTTCTGTGAGCTCTCACTTCCGGCATTCCACCAGGCGCTCTGGATTTGTCTCTTTCTCTGCGTTGCTCCTTTCACTCAGCCTTGTGTATGTCAGGCCAGTCTGAGTCACACTCCCAGGCCCTTTGCTTCTATTTTCCGTTTTCCATTTGTCCCTTTGGAGACAAATGGAAGTTAATTTCTTTCTTTTCTTTTCTTTTCTTTTTTTTGTTTTATTTTGTTTTTTTTCGAGACGGGGTTTCTCTGTGTAGCTTTGGAGCCTATCCTGGCACTCACTCTGGAGACCAGGCTGACCTCGAACTCACAGAGATCCGCCTGCCTCTGCCTCCCGAGTGCTGGGATTAAAGGCGTGCGTCACCAATGCCTGGCTATTTAAGTTTTAATTTCTAAAGTATGATTTTTCATTTAATCAGCATTAGTCTTAAGTAGTTAGCTATAAACCTTTGGAAAGGTTTATTCTAATTTCTAGTGTATGGATGTTTTTACTCCACAAAAGTGTTTTTTCCATGTGTGTGCTGGTACCGGTGGAAGTCAGAAGGGGACATTGGATCCCCTGAAACTTGAGTTACAGACAGTTATGAGCTGACATGTGGGTGCTGGGAACTGAACTTGGGTTCCTTGCAAGAGCAGAAAGTGTTCTTAATAGCTGTCTTTGGAAAGTTTTAAGTGTTTGTCTATATTAAGTTTAAGTGAAAATATTTCCTTAACATAAGGTATGGTATGTACTGAAGGTTGGCCTTGAACTCCCTATGTAGCAGGCTGGTGTTCAACACTCATCCTCCTTCCTCTACCTCCCAAATGCTGGGATTATAGGCATGGAGCAGGATGCCCAGCTACTCTAAGTGAAATGTGTATCAATAGCAAGGACATTAGCCATCACCGCAACAGCACCCTTCAATTTCTATTTTATTTTGATATATGGGCCAACCTGAAGACTTAGAGTTTATTGTATATGTGGTCCTTGAGAACTGGGAATGAAATCCAGTTGGTAGAGTGCTTGCCTAGCATGAATAAAACTCAGTGTGATCCTCAGCATTGCATAAACTGGACCTGGTGGGACATGCCTGTGACTTCTACTTAGGAGCGAAAAGAAGGATGATCAGGAGATCAAGGTCACCCTGGGATACAGTGAGAATGTAGGGGCTGGCTTGGCCTGTATGATATCCTATCTCAAGAAGTGCTAAAGTGAACTAGCACCACAACAAACCAAACCATGCATGCTGTAGGAGGCAGGTGACCAACCGAAGCCTGAGTAGAAGGGGTTAAGTCCTGGGGGACATCCATCAATTTTTAATAACTATGAAAATAAAATAGGAACTATAAAGATTCACAGAACCTTGCCTTCATCATGGACAGCCTTTTAATCTGGGATAGAGAAAGAGAGGAGCTTCAAAAGATAGAATTATGGTCTGAATATGTGCCACTCTCCTCTCAAGTCTTTTCATTGAAACAGTCTGAATACTGTGGTAAGTGTGTGGCTTTGGGTGGTAATAGCATCCTGAGAGTTCCAGAATGTATGAGATCTGCACCTTTATTGAAGGGACTATGGAACCTGCTGCTGTGTTAGGATGCAGGAGCTCACCAGACATCAAATCTGCCACCCACTTGATCTTTGACTGTCTAAAGCATTTTTAAAAAGGTAACACGGTACTGGTTTTGTGTGTCAACTTAACACAAGCTAGAGTCATCAGAAAGGAAGGAACCTCAGTTGAGGAAATGCCTCCATGAGATTCAGTGTAAGGCATTTTCTCAACTAGTGATGAATGGGGGAGGGCCCAGCCCATTGTGGGTGTTGTCATCTCTGGGTTGGTGGTCATGGGTTCTGTAGGAAGGAAGGCTGAGCAAGCCATAAGGAGCAAGCCAGTAAGCAGCACCCCTCCATGGCCTCTGCATCAGCTTCTGCCTCCAGGATCCTGCCCTGTTTGAGTTCCTGTCCTGACTTCCTTTAGTAATGAACAGCAATGTGGAAGTATAAGTCAAATGAACCCTTTCCTCCCCAACTTACTTTTTGGTCATGGTGTTTCATCACGGCAATAGAAACCTAAACAAGAAAAACATATTTCTATTATAAGTTTCTCAGTACAGCAGCATTGAGGGACCAAGCTAGAGGGGTAAACTAGTTTTAAACTGGAAGGACCTATGTTTTCTGTAGGAAACCATCAGCTGGGAAGCCTGTCTATGGCGTAGGTGAACAGGTAAGACAGAGATGTTTGGATGGCAAAGCAGGAAAGGAAGACTGTTTTGGTAGACTTCAGAAGCACTTACGGGGATGACACAGTAAAAGCTTTGACCCAGGAGCTAGGTTACATGAATACCCAGATATCCCTTCTTTTCAATTTTAGTTTTTCAAGCTGGGGATCAACTCAGACCTGGCACCTGTGAAGCGTGCATTCTCACACTGAGCTATATTCTCAGCTCTCCTTTTTTTCTGGGTGACACGCTTTAATGCTTCCATGAATGTGGCTTTAAGGGCAATCCTGTTAGCCACCAGTTGTGCACAGGGTCTCATAAAGAGAGAGGGCTTACCCCATCTACATTTGAAGTTTATTTGGTAGGTAATGATGGGATGGGCCTCTGACCTCCAGGAGTTCACATTCTTAAATGCTCCAGGGAGGCCTGGGCAAGTCCATTAGGCTATCTGTTCGGCAGGGCAGGTGCTTCCAGCAGTAGATTGCCTGAATCAATTCAAAGAATGCACCTGTTAGATGGGAATCTGGATCTGGCGATCACACCATCTCCTTTCCAGAAAGCTAAGCCAGGACAGGAATGCTGTAGGCTCTCACCAGCTGGTTTTGTGAAGCTGGAACCGAGCAGGTGGTTCTCCTCATTTGGAGATTTCATTTTGATGGATTAATGAAGATGATCCTGTACCCAAATGAGCATTCCTTTCCTCTTGCTTGCTGGCTCCTCATCCCTGCTTACTCTCCTTTCCCTCCTCTCCTTCTTCCTTATCTTTCTTTTCTTAGCAACTGTTGTTCTGAGACAGAGCCTGAAAGTGTAGCTTAGCCTGATGCTCACTATGCAACCAGGCTGCCTGGAACTCTTGCCTCAGCCTCTCTAGTCCTTGGATTATATATGTGAATGGCTGGCTTCTTAGCGACATTTAAAAAAATGTCAAGAATCCAAGTGAGATCCCCTTCCTTTCTGTATTAAATACATATCCCAGAGGGAAAGACAGAGAAATATGACCACGCTCCAAGGAGTATGTGTAACACAAATTGGAGCTGGTGGTTTTTGTTTAGTTTTTTTTTTGGGGGGGGAGGGAGGCACAAGAGTAGGAGGGTAGACCTGGGAGAAATGGGAATTGAGTGTGACTGGGTTATTCATAAAGTGATATAAGACGACAAGGCAAGCTATGGCATCAGGACATCAGAACTGAGGTGCATAATGGCAGGACACTTAAAATGTGCTTGGCATCCTGGGCTTGCCCCCAGGCACAGAGGCAACAAACAAACAAACAAACAAACATAAAAACACCGAAGGGGGCCTGGAGAAATGGATCAGAGGTTAAGAGCACCGACTGCTCTTCCAGAGGTCCTGAGTTCAATTCCCAGCAACCATATGGTGGCTCACAACCATCTGTTATGAGGTCTGGTGCCCTCTTCTTATGTGCAGATATACATGGAAGCAGAATGTTGTACAAATAATAAATAAAATCTTAATAAAAAACACTGAAGGAAGAAGAGGGTGCATTATTTTCAAATTTCGTAGGTGAGCAGTAAGATCATCCTGAAGAAACAGACCTGGATCTGGTAGTGATGATGGTGGAGGGCTGTGTGCAAAGCTTGGCAGCAAGTGGCAGAAAAGAATACTTGGTCAATGGACAATGAGGAAGTAGTATTACTGGAGATGAGTGGTCCAGGGGAGAAAGGCTGAATGAAACAGTAGTCAGTGAGTGGTTGGATCACCGGGGGCTTAACAGGCAAAATCCTGACCTTGAACTTTATTGATGGTGCCCTAACAAGCCACTGGAGGGAGCTGAGCAGGGAGACGAGGAGATCTGAGTTACAGCATGGAAATTATACTCTGAAAAGAAATAGAAAAGAAAAGAAAAATGCTGAAGCTCTTGGAAAATGTTCTGCTGCAGAAGAAGACAGATGAAGTCAAACGAGTCACTTAGCTTCAGAGGACTGTGCTGGTGGATTGAAGTATGGGGCTGTGTGGATATGGTGAGAGGCAGTAGTTGGGCTCAGGGTGTTTCAGGGACTGACCAAGAGTTCATCGGTGAATGACTAGGTGTGCAGTAGAAGAGAAAGAGATGGGGTGGGGATGACCTCTTGAGTTGTGGTCTGAGCAGCTATGTGATGGTGGAGGTGTTTCCTGAGTGATCTAGGGATAATTGGGAAAGAGGTAGTTTAGATTGGCAAATTAAGAACTCTGCTTGCATCATCCTAAGTGAGGATGTTGAGTCTTGATTGGTACAGGAGTTTGGAATGTAAGTTAAAACTCCATCCTGCAGCTAAACTTGGAGAGTCACAAGTGTGTGGATGGTATTTAAAGCTACAGGTCCAGAAGAAATCATGCAGGGGATGGCGTGGGGGGTGTGTGGGGGCATATAACATTAGGCAGGTGCTGAGCTCAGGGGCACCACAATGTTTCAGGGACAGACCAAGGAGGAGATGTGAGCAAGGAGGACCAAAGGAGCTGCCCCATTGATGTAGGAGGAAGCTGCAAGGGCTGTATGTGTGTAGGTCTGAAAAGCATGATGTTCTGCAAGGGAGTCAAACATGTCAAGTCCTGCATCCAGGCTCTAAGATGAGGACCTGGAATGGGTGATAAGATTCAATGCAACAATTTTAAGTAGAGCCGTGGAATGGGGGTGGGGAGAAGTGTGATGAGATGACCACAGAAGCCAGAGGTAAAGATGCAGAAACCTTATAGGAGATGATTCTTGGGTGTTTAGGGGGTGGAGGTGGTGGGGAGAAGCCTAACATAGATGTGGGAGGTAAGGGTTGGTCACTTTCATTCATGAAAAAGAAGGCAATGATGAGAACTCTTTGGTATATAGGTGGGAATGGTTTCCAAGTGAGAGGAAAAAAGGTGAATCAGAATTTTAAAAAAATAGGAGTTGCTAAACCCAGAGCCAGGCTAGAAGTGTTCAATACGAAGCTCAACTGAACACTTGCCTCAGAAGTTAGAGAATAATAGAAAGAAATGTGAGTTGTAGACCTGGGCTGTGGGAAGGCTGAGGATGTATCTCAGTGAGAGTGCTCACCTAACATGTACAAGATTCACGGTTCTGTTCTTGGCACAAGGGAAGAAAAAAAAAACAAAACAAAAAACAACTCATGCCTTGGGCCGGGAATGTAACTCAGTAGGTGGAGAGCTCTGATAGCAAGCATGAAGCCCTGGGTTCAAACCTCAGGACTGTATAAACCATTTTTGGTGGTGGACACCTCTATTAACAGCACCTGAGAGGTGGTGGTCGGAAGATCAGGAGTTGAAGATCATTCCTAGCTGAATGGGGATTTGTGAGCTAGAGATATTGTTTAAAGAAAAAAGAAAAAGAGAGAAAAAAGAACAGAGTTTTTGGAAGGCACAGTGGAGCTGCTGTTATTTCTATTTTCTCTGAGAAGCAAGACAGAGCCTTGGGAGAGAAGAGGGTCTTCTGCCTTGTAAGGAAGACGGGAAAGAAATATGAAATAGTCATTTTGGGGAAAGAGAGATTGAATTGACTGGACATTTAATGCTAGGAACTTTTGAACTAGTTGAAAGTTTTCTCATAGGTTTAAAATAAATTTAAATTAAGGACAAACCAAGGGCTGGCAAGAAGGCTCAGTGGGTAAAAGCCCTTGCCCTGAAAGTCACCTTACCTGAGTTTGATACCTGGAATCCAAGTAAAATTGGAAGAAGACTCCACTGTTCTTTGATTTCCAGTCCAATGTGTACTCCCCCTAAATAATTAAAACAAATGTTATTTAGTTTTAGAAGTTTATTTGTTAATGAATTTTATGCATATGAGTATTTTGTCTGCATGGACATTTGCATGCCAGAAGAGGATGTCGGATTCTCTGGGACTACAGCTAGAGATGGTTGTGAGCCAACTTGTGGGTGCTGGGAATTGAACCGAGGACCTCCAGAAGAACATTCATTCAGTGCTCTTAAACACTGAGCCCCCACCCCAACAAACTTAAAAAAGGAACAAACTGTATATTTCCCCTGGTTACCTTCAGCTGGTAGACGTTGGGCAGGTAGGAAGTCAAGAGTGTGGGCAAGGGGAGACTATGTAGATGGACTCTACACCACTGGAAGTAGGTTTGTGACCATCATGGAGCTGATGAATAACGAAAAACATGAATTAAGTAGACTCAGGGTCAATGTGGAGGGAAGAATTGTGGCTGTTTTGCCTTTTGTCATGCCCATCTCTCTCACTGTTTGGGGTACTATGAGAAGACATCTGATTTTCTTCAGTGTAGGCTGTTTCTTCTGTGAAATCACCTCCATAATGAGCTTCTTTTTTTTTTTAATTGGTTTTAGGTGTGTGTGTGTGTGTGTGTGTGTGTGTGTGTGTGTGTGTGTGTATTCGCGTGTGTTTTTTATATACTACATGTGCGTAGGAAGCCAGAGTACAGTGGGATTCCCCCACAACTGGAGTTACAGGTGGTTTCAAACCCCATGATGTGAGTGCTGGGAACCCAACCTAGGTCCTCTTGCAAGAGCAGTGACACTTTAAACCACTTAGCCATCTCTCCAGCTCCCCCCATAACACTTTTTTTAATGGACACCTCCTTTTCTTGAGCCCCTGTTCCTGTTACATTTCATGTATACATTATGTCCTGGCTAGTTTTATGTCAACTGGATTCAAGCTAAAATCATCTGAGAGGAGGGAACCTCAATTAAGAAAATGCCTCCAGGCCAGGTGTGGTGGTGTCAGTGCAGGCCTTTAATCCGAGCTCTTCAAGAAACCCTGCCTCAAAAAAACCCAACCAACCAACCAATCAACCAATAAATAATCCTCCATCAGATGGTGTTGTGGGCAAGCCTGTATGACATTTTCTTAATTAGTGATAGATAGGGGAGGGCAGAGCCCATTGTGGGTGATGTGATCCCTGGGCTGATGGTCCTAGGTTCTATAAGAAAGGAGACCTGAGCAAGTCATTATGAGCAAGTCAGTAAGTAGCAGCCTTCCATGGCCTCTGCATCAGCTCCCGCCTCCATGTCCTGCTATGCTTGAGTTGCTGTCCTGAATTTCCTTGATGACTGACTGTGATGTGGAAGTGTAAGCCAAATAAACCCATTTCTCCCCAAGTTTCTTTGGTCTTGGTGTTTCATCACAGCAATAGTAATCCTTACTGAGATGCCTTATTCAGTTGTATTTATCTTATTGTAGCTCTAGGAACAAAAGGGTTTGCAAACACCATCTTTACCAAAGCTCTCAAGAGCATAATAGTCTATGATACACATAGACCAATTGCATCCCACAAAACTAAATTCTGAAGAAAGTTTAGGTGTGGCAAATATGTCTTTATACCTAGATCATACTCCCCTGAGAAGCATGGGATCATACCATAACAGCAGGGGTTGATGAACACTTGTGGGAGTCTTATGTCATTCCTTCAGTGGTCTTAAGGAAGAGCAGTGGAAGAGGCATGGGGCAGAGCTTTCTGGCAAATTATAAGTCTGAACTGTTTAATCAACAGCTTGGTGAAAATTTGGAATCACTGCAGGCTTATTGTGCTAAGAAAGCCTGGTGTGTCTGTCCCACTCTTGCAAGTCCATGTCTCTGGTAAGCTATTAAAGGCACAGTTACCAGGAAGGAGCCATGTGTTCAAACCAAATACAGCTTTCTCTTTACCCATTGTACACATTTATCAGGGGCTTGACATTAATTCTTTTTCTTTCTTTTTTTTAAGATTTATTAATTTTTTAATTTAATATACATCAGGGTTTTGCTTGTATGGGGGTGTAAGATCCCCTGGAACTTGTATTACAGACAATTGTGAAGTGCATGTGGATGCTGGGTACTGATCCTGGGTCCAAAGAAAGAAAGCCAGTGCTCTCAATCACTAAGCCATCTCTCCAGCGCTGATGCTAATTCTTCAAAGAGGTTCTTTATATGGTCCCCTGTGAAATTCCTGTAAGAAATGCTCTCAGGTTCCCAGGGGGACCTCCTCAGGCTTTAAGCTTGTGGGTACAGCACCAGTGGGATGATAGGGCAAAGTGAGGCCATGAGTGGCTTCATGCTGCTGTTTTAAGTGACTTTGGCAGGACAGACAAGTGACCCAAGTCACTCACAGTGGTTCCAGGGCACACAAGGCCCTCACTATCTAGTGATGCCATCCTCAAGAGCCTGGTGAAGTTTTCCATCCATAGGGAGCTTAGAATCAGGACATCTGATACTAGTGCATATATGGATCCTCTGATAGAAGGCCATGGACTTGATTTAATAATAGAAATGTATTTCCTTGTTGTTCTGGAGGCTGGGATCCAAGCTCAAAGTGGGGCTGGTTTCTCCGGAGGTCTCTGTATTGTTCTTGCAGATGCTACCTTCAGCCCGAGTCTTCATATGGTTGTCCTTCCTTTGAGGCTGCTTATCTTGGTCTCTTCCTTTTAAAATTTATTATTGTTTTAGACAGAATCATACTGTGTTTTCTGAGCTGGCCTCTAAGTTGTGGCAATCCTTCTGCCTTAGCCTCCTGTAAATGATGAGATGAAAGGGACACATGACCATGGCATAGTGTCACCCTTCTTATAAGGATACCACCAGTCATAGTGCATTAGGGGTTGCCACAATGACTTCAAGTTAATTTCCTTTTTAAAGACCTCTCCTTCAGATCTCCCATGCTAGGAGTTAGCATGGCAACATTTGAACTTGGGTGCCGACACACTTCTGCCTCCACCACTTGGAACATCTGGAACTGGCTCACCCCTCTAAGGAGCCCACTCACTTAGGTTCCAAAATAAAACCATACTTATTCCACAAGGTCGCTTTCAGCCTCACCCACTATGCATCGGTTTGGTAACATTTTCCCAGTGAAAATATGCCTAAATATCAGAGGAGGAAGGTCTTGTCTTCATTTTACTTAAAACAATCATTTGTGTGTGCGTGTGTGTGTGTGCGTGCACACGAGTGTGAATGTACAGTGGGGAGGGCATGCCATGAGGTGCCTGTGGTTGTCAGAGGACACCTCTGCAGAGTCTGTGTACTCCTTCCGTCTTTGCATGCTTTCCAGGACTGAACAGGTGAGCAGCCTGTGTATCCAGCATCTTTACCTGCTGAGGCACCTGGTTGGCCCTTGGTTTTGCTTTTGATATTCGTTGCAATTCCTCTTCCATTTCTGTTTGCTCTCTAGCCCTGCAGGTGGCACACACCTTTAACCCCAGCACTTGGCACTTGGGAGGCAGAGGTGGGTAGATCTCTCTGTGAATTCAAGGACAGCCCAGTCTATCTATATAATAGTGAGTTGAAGGCCAGCCAGGGCTATGTAGTAAGATTGTGGCCTTTCCTTGTTCTTTTTTAAAAATTGCTTTCTAGAGGTTATCTTAGGAGATGTAGAAGCTTTGTACTTATCTATTTACTTATCATTTATTGCGGTGCTTGGGAGTCAAACCCAAGGGCTTCATATGTTACAGGCAAGCATTATACACCTAACCACTGAGTTACACCCCCAGCTGGAAGTGTAGCTAAGCTGGCTATTCATAACCATTTTGTCATTGTTTGTTACTTCCAAACAAAGCTTAGGGAAAGGAATAATAGTCTCATTATCACTCATCTATTATGGACTATGTGACAGAGGACAGGAAAGAAGGAATTTTTAGCTTATTTTCTCTGTTTTGAAAGTGGAATTAAGATCAATAAGTGGAAGAGATAGGCAAACAGATTTTAACACTTAAGAAAAAAAGAGCTTCTGTCTATCAGAACTGCTCCCCCCATATAATCTTTTTATTTTTATTATTTATTTTGTTTGGTTACTTATAGAGACAGAGTCTCATTATGTAGCCCTACCTGGCCTGGAGCTTGCTACTCATGCCCCAACCAAGGAGTGCTGGAACTAAGGGAGTTCAGCACCACACCAACCCCTGTAGAATCTTTTGATATTGTTCTAAATTGCAGATCTGTAAATCTGTGATCTTGCCACTGGCTGGTATTTTGAAGAAGTCAATCTGAAACCCAGCCCTAAAGGTCTTGACAGACACCTAAGCTAAGAACGGACCTAGAGTGTAGAGCACCCTGCACCTACCCTGAGGGTTTCTTATGTGATGAGGCCCCTCTGTCTGGAGATGAGGAGTCTGCACTTAGGGATGGTAAGCAAGGGTAAAGGGTGATGGGTAGGTCTTTGTTACTGGTGGGAGTGTCAGAATGTCACAACATTAGGAGATCGTGAGGATTTCTGGAAACACTCCACTGCAAAAGAAGAGTTTAGATTAAACCTGTAGGCCCACTTGTTGGTAGACAATGTGTGTATAGGGGAGGAGCCAGGCAGCCTGTGACAGGAGTGCAGAAACCAGATAACACTGGCACTTCAGATCAAAATCACGGTGACAATAAAATCCACAGTATGACAAGTTGTGCTTGATGGACTAAGTCCCTCTTTCCCCAGTGTTGCTAGACTCTAGCCTAGAGAAACAGGGTAAAGAAAAGCAATGGGGGGGGGGGGGTTCAGCCTTTTGTTTAATCTATTTGTGTAATCTATGTATCTGAACTCATTTTGCTCTTATCCTCATTTTGCGTAGTAGACAACTATTATTCCCATTTAGCAGATGAGTAAGCTGGCCTCATAGTAGTTAGGAGATGAATGGTGACGTTGGAATCTAGTCAGGGTCTGACTAACCCCATTGCTTAGGCAGTATTTTTCCTCTCCTGGCTGCATAAAAATAAAGGAAGACGAATGATGTCAGGTATACCACATCTGGTGGGATGTCACAAACTGACCAAATGTTACTCATTTTATTAATTACATTATTATGAAGATGTAAAACGTCGGTCATTCTAATCCCATGAGATGCTGCAGAAAATGACTTCCAAGCATGAAGTTGCCAAGAATGACTCCTCTAGGTAATCTTGCTTTCACCTCTCATTAAGTTGTGAGTATATTCCACCATCATTACGCCCCTGTTAGCTCTTGTGTGTCTCATCATGAAGCTGGCTAGGTCAGAGTTTATCACACATCTCTGATTCAGTTCCAGAGCTCCACCCAATTCCTCTCATACCTCTTCCAGATCTACGTGGTGAATGATACCCCTTTGATAACTCCTCTCTTTCCCACCAGACGTCATTCCAGACCTCTTTTCCTGTCATCTTTCCAGTGACTTGGTGACTTTAGAAGAAACATCAATTAATCAGTACCTGTAAATGTGTAGCTCACCAATGAAAGAGATGTCTTCATAAAGGGAGCCATTATAGGATTAGGGAGAAACCTGGTCCTAGAGGAATTCTCAGGAATCCATGAGGATGACCCCCGCTAAGACTCCTAGCAATAGTAGAGAGGGCATCAGAACGGACCTTCCCCTTTAATCAGATTAGTGACTACCCTAATTGTCAACATAGGACCTACATCTAGTAACTGATGGAAGCAGATGCAGTGATCCACAGCCAAGCACTGAGCTGAGCTCCTGGAGTTCAGTTGAAGAGAGGGAGGAGGGATTGTATGAACAGGGGGGATTAAGACCACGATAGGGAAAACCACAGAGACAGCTGACTCGAGCTAGTTGGAGCTCATGAACTATGGACTGACAGCTGGGGAACCTGCATGGGACTGAACTAGACCCTCTGAATGTGAATGACAGTTATGTGGCTTGATCTATTAGGCAGAGGGTGGGAGTGGGGGTGGGAAAGCTGGCTGTGGCACCAGGACCTATCCCAGGGCCATGAACTGACTTTCTGGAGCCCATTCCCTATGGTAGGATATGTTGCTCAGCATTGATACAGTGGGGGAAGGGCCTGCCTCAACTTGGCATGCTGGACTTTGCTGACTCCCCAAGGAAGGCCTTACCCACTCTGAGGAATGGATGGGGGGTGGGAAGAAGGGGAGATGGGGAATGGGAGAAGGGGAGGGAGGGAATTGGGATTGGTATGTAAAATGAAAAATAATTTTTTAAAATAGAAAATGTATTATTCTTTAATGTCTCTAGAGAAATAGACCATGAAGATCCTGGCAAAAGATGGTCTGTATATGCTACTCTCTTCAGCTTCTTTGACTTTGCCAATCTCATCTCATTAGCAATTGGCCATGTGGCCTTTCTTAAACTATATAGCCTTGCCGGGCGTTGGTGGCACACACCTTTAATCCCAGCACTCGGGAGGCAGAGGCAGGCGGATCTCTGTGAGTTCGAGGCCAGCCTGGTCTCCAGAGTGAGTGCCAGGTTAGGCTCCAAAGCTACACAGAGAAACCCTGTCTCGAAAAACAAAAAAACAACAACAAAACAAAACAAAACAAAAACAAAACCATATAGCCTTTATTAGTCTGCTGATTTGTTTGTAAAACCAAGGTGTTGGCTTGGTTGAAATACTTCTTCCAATGTCTGGAGATCTACAAAGATGACACCAACTAACATTCTAAGCAACAGAGGAGAGGCTACCTTAAATGCCCTCTTCTGATAATGAGATTGAAGACTAACTTATAAGCCATCCTATAGCCTTCATCCAGTAGCTGGTGTAAGTAGAAGCAGATACTCACAGCTAAACACTGAACTGAACTCTGGAACCCAGTTGCAGCGAAGGAGGAGTGATGAGCAAAGGGGTCCTAACCAGGCTGGTGAAACCCACAGAAACAGCTGACCTGAACAAGGGAGAGCTCTTGGTCCCCAGACAGATAGCTGGGAAACTAGCATGGGACTGATCCAGAACCCATGAACGTGGGTGTCAGTGAGGAGACCTTGGAAGTCTATGAGGCCCCTTGTAGTAGATTAATACTTATCCCTAGCATAGGAATAGACTTTGAGAGCCCATTCCACATAGAGTGATACTCCCTGAGCCTAGACACATGGGATGGGCCTAGATCCTATCCCAAAGGATATGACAGCCTCACCCTCTCTGGGGAGCAGAAAGGGTATGGAATAGATAGGGTGTTAGTTGGGGGACAGGGGAGGAGGGGAGGCAGAGGGAACTGGGATTGATATGTAAAACAATCTTGTTTCTAATTCAAATTAAAAATTAAAAAAAAAAAAATAATCGAAAAAAAAAAAAAAAAGAAATACTTCTTCCAGGTTGTGTTGCTGGAATGTTCTTAAGAGGAAAAACACATAATGGTGCCTTCACACATAAGCAAGTGACAGAAACCAAGAAAAGAGGCTTAAACTTTCTGATAGACAGAAAGAGAGAGGAGAGAGAGAGAGAAAGAGACAGAGACAGAGACATTTTGGCCTTCAAGATTCTGGCGCTGAAGACTTGATAAATCTGCCTTCAGTTTGGACCTTATGTCTGTTCTAGCAGTTATGTTCATTCCCATTATTCAGGTAAAGAAACAGAGGTTGCAGAAGGCTGGCCGCTTGCTCAACTTCTTGGTGAGTCAGCAGTTAGGAAGGAAAGTGTGCAAAAGGCTATAGACACGTACGCCGGTCCTTGGACCCTAGGACATTCTGCCTTGGGAAATTGATTTGTCCACAGAGGTTATGATGAGTAGGCTAAAGTCTTTCAAAACCCTGTCTTCCAATAGGACCTTGGGGCTTTCAGCAGCCAGCTACTTTCCCCCAGATCATATGACTGTTCTCTCCCTGTTTGAATATCTCTGTCCATGGGTGTTTGGTGTCTAGGGCTTCCTTGTCAAGGGTTGAAGCCTAATAAATGCATGGTAAATAAGCCTAATAAATAACCAAGTAGTGACTGGTGGGAGAAATTAACCTTAAAATTGTATCAGTATCAAATGCCCAACTCTGCAGCAAATTGATTGTGGGTCCAAGTTTCCTTGTTCTTTTTCTTTTTCTCCCTCCCTCCCTCCCTCCTGCTTTCTGACTGGCCTAGAACTCATACATAGCCTGGGCTGGACTTGAACACTTGACAATCCTCCTGCCTCAGTTCCAAGCACTGGGGATAGAAGCATGAACCACCATGGCTGGGTGCCAGTTTATTTTAAAACAGATGTAGTAGGCCAGGCTGGGCCTGGTGACACACACCTGTGATTCTAGTGAATACAAAAGTTTCAGGATTTCTAGGTCAGCCTGGGTTATGTCAGACTCTGTCTCAAACAAAAACAAAAACAAACAAAAACAAAAAACAGAAACAACCCATCCCTCTAAACCCACATTTGACAATTCCAAATATTAAACTACCTTTCTCTTTCTTAGCAAAGTAGAGAGTGTCTTTGCTGAGACATCATGCCACACCGAAGAGTCATTTGTTTTCAGTAAATTGAGATCTCATATGCATTTTGTTTGGTGGCAAGTGTACACATTATGGTTACCTGGAGCTTAATACGTGGGGCAAGGAGGTGGCTGCCTCAGAATGGGGAAGGTTTCTCTGGGCTGCAGAAAGACAGGTAGAGTAAAGAGGTGGAGTCTAATTGTTTTGGCAAATGAAGTAAGAGTTAGACAAATCCTAGAATCTGTGATGGAGGGGCTTGAAGTACCAAAGAAGTTCCAGGACAAAGTGTGCAGGCTTTTTTAGTTTCTAACTTCTGTGGCGGTGAATTTTCATGTGTCAGCTTTTTGTTCTGAGGTGTAGAGGTGAGAGCCACATATGCAAATCTTCTTAGCCATTTCCCAACAGTGCAGAGACTTATATACCCGAAAACCCTCCCATCTGTGTAGAAGAAAAACATTGAGGGACTGGAGAGATGGCTCAGTGGTTAAGAGCACTGACTGCTCTTCCAGAGGTCCTGAGTTCAATTCCCAGCAACCACATGGTGGCTCACAACCATCCCTAATAGGATCTGATGCCCTCTTCTGGCCTGCAGGCATATGTGCACACAGAACACTATACACAAAATAAATAAAGAAACCTTTAAAAAAGAAAGAAAGAAAGAAAGAAAGAAAGAAAGAAAAACAGAGTGGTACATGTTCTAATATCTCACTTGTAGAAAATGGAGGGAGAAACCTAGGGTTGAGTAGAATGAGATGCTACACTGAGAGCTGGGCATGGTAGTGCATACCTTTAATCCTGGCACTAAGGGAGCAGTTGCAGGCAGATCTCTGTATGTTCAAGGCCAACTTGGTCTATGTGGTAAGTTCTAGGCCATCCAGGACTACACAATGAGGCCCTGCCCCCAATATGTGATGGTTTCTTTAGAGTACCAGTTAGAGGAATCCATTTACCAATATATTTACTAGAAATACTCTTTAGATGAGATCGAATGCATTCAGGGTGGTATGGCCATAGACTAGAAATATTCTTCAAAGAAATTGCTTTGGTTGTCAATGGCTACTTGAAAAAAGATTGGCAACTTAGTTTAAGGGGATTGAATTCTATGTTTAGAAATATGTGACAAGAGCTAATGGCTACAGAACCATTTTTAAACAAGGTTGGGACTCTGTGGCAGAGCACTACATTGGGTGGGCTGAGATAGAAAAGGAAGAGAGGCAATCTCGAGGCAATCTTAAAGATAATAATCAACTCGTGTGCATAAGATTGCACTGTTTAGCTGTGCTGAAGCTTATGGTAGGTTTGGTGAGAATTCTTCTTAGTTCAGGCCTGACTGAAGTGGGGACACTGGGGAGGAAATGACTCACCTGGAGTCACAAACAATGTGATTAAGGCAAAGGAAAGGAAATAGAATGTTCTGGAACTTTCCTGTACTAAGGAATAAGAGCCCTTGCTCCACTGCCTCATGTCACCCAGATTTCTTTCTTTATACTTTAGCTACTCAGGAACATATTCAGATGATGGAATCCAAGTCTTAACATTTTCCAGGCAATTTGACAGGAAAGCGATACCAGTTATTTACAGTTTCCACATGTATTCATAGGTTCCACATTTATGGATTCAACCAAAATGTTCAAGAAAAGTCTTCCATCTGTGCTGAACATGTAGACTTTTGTTTTGTCATCGTTCCCTAGACAATACAGCAGAAAAAATATTTACATAACATTTGGTTTAAGTTACCTGGAGGTGACTCAGAGTATACACGTGTAGAGTCGAGTCACTTTACACAAGGACCTGGACAGAATCTCTTCAGCAAAAAGCACTTCCAACATCTTCAAAATAAAGAAATGAGATTATGAATGAACCTGACAACAACAGATTGTAAAGGGGTCCACGAAGTCCAAGTGTATTTAGCTGCTCGGACTTGTGGCTTGGCTGAATTACAGCTCCCCAATACTATCAGATCTGAATGAATTCAGGATTCCCTGTCATTTCTCAAGCAGTAAGAATTTAATGAGTAGTTACAAGGTATTGGTCATTTGTAGAAACCCATGGACCAAGAATTTAAAAACAGTGACTGAGTCTGTCTCCCTGGTGTGTCCCCAGGGTGTGACACAGCGGTTGGTATATAAATGCTAATTAAACATGTGCAGGGACATGAATTAGTGGCCGAATAGACCCACCTGAATAGTTTCTTGGGTGGTTTGCTGGAGAAGTGTGTATATAGTCATATTCTCTAGTATATAGTCATATTCTCCAGTATATATTCACAGTCTCCAGTATATATTCATAGTCTCCAGTACATATTCATATTCTCTGCTATATATTCTCTTTGATTCTGCCACACTTTAAGCTTGTTGGCATCATTAACTTTGTTCAATGGAAACAATTACTATTTGGGAAATAATGGTTTTCTCCTTCTATAGTTCTGTCTGCAGAGGACCAAGTTGGTGATGGTATTTTATTGTCTGTATTCCTATGTGGCCCACTTGAGAAGATGGCACGGTTCTGGATGGACCCAGAGACAGGTGTCATTTGTGTTACAACCACCCTGGAAGGAAGGGGTCTACTAGATAGTGACTGGCCTTACTTGAGAAAGTGCCATCCAGCTCAGTATCGTCTCCTTAGACCAAGGCATTCCTTTCTCCAAATTCTTTCTGCTCTGATGGTAAACATGGATTGGGAGGCACAGGGAAGGGAAGGCTGAGAACAGGAAGTTGAGAGCTGTCCCCAGTCCTCAGTGCAGGACTGGTGAAAGGCTGACTGGCGGAAGAAGGTGCAGAGTAATTCCTAGTGCTGAAGGTGTTTCGTCTTCACAGACACTAGCGTACTTGGCATCATTGCTCCTGCTTGTTGTACGGGAAACAAATTCAGGTTAAACCGACAGATTACCAGTGGCTGAGTGAAGGTTTTAACTCAGGGTATCACTCTAAATTACCATCTTATTCAAGGAAATAATACAATGCATTCTATATGTGGCCAGTCTTCTTTGACCGAATTTGAAACACGGCAGTGATTTGCTGTGAAGGCAGAATGTTTCATTTAAACTTTAAGAAAAAGTAAGATATTTCTTGTCCATGAGACAAATCTCATAGTATAAAACTTTAGAGACCATCTAACAAATCTCCAGTTTGCGAATATGCCCAATGACCATCTATGGATTATTTTTTCAAGATTAAAAAGAAATTGAGGGGGCCGAGGAGATGGCTCACTCAATTAAGTGCTCACTGTGCAAGAATGGGCTCCAGAGTTTGGCTCCCCAGCACCCACAAAAAGCTGAAGTGGTGTATGTGCCTCCTGCTGCTATGGAGGCAGAGACAGGGGCATTCAGGAACTCAATGGCTGGAGGATCTGGCCTGTTAGCAAGCAGCTCAGGTTCAGTGAGAGAACCTGTCTCAACAAACAAGATGGAGAAGGGAAGGAGGAGCATGCCTGATGTCGGCCTACAGCCTCCATACTCACAGTCCCCAAGTATGTGTATGTGCACTCATGTGCACACACACCGCAATTTTAGCTGACACACAACGACTGCACTCTGTTATAATTTGATACATGTATTTTGCTGTGTAATTATCACACCAGGGGGTTGACATTTCCTCAAATATGTGTCATTTTTTCTACTGGGAATATACAAACTCCTCCCTTCTAGTCCTACAGGCAATGCTAAGGCCTTGTGCAATGCTCTACCACCCAGTGGTGCGCACAACCCTCTTCTGTTTCTTTATAAAACATCTAACAAAGTGTTTAAAGTAGTAGTTCTCAACCTTCCTAGTGCTGGGACCCTTTAATATCTCATGTTGTGGTGATCCTCCAATCATAAAATTATTTTTGTTGCTACTTTATAGTTGTAATTTTAATATTATTATGAATTGTAATTCAAATATCTGTGGTTTCTAATGGTCTTAGGTGACCCTTATGAAAGGGTCATTTTACCCCAACGGGGAGAGAACCACAGGTTGAGAACTGTTGGTTTAAAACAATATTTTCCCTGCTGTGCTATAGATCAGGGGAATTAACTCTTTTTATTTCATTTACATTTCAACCACAGTTCTCCCTCCCATCCCCACCCCACCCCTGGCCTCCTCCCCTTGCCTCCTAGCTATTTGATTGTGTTTTGGAACCTCTGTTGCCCTCCCCTCCCTTTCCTACCCTCTAAGGACCCCTGTTTATTTCTGAATTGCTTTGCAGCATTTTCAAGAATATGTTCCTGGGTTAGGGTGTAGCTGGGTGAGGAAAGTGGTCACCTAGCATGAATGAAGACCTGGGCTTAGTTCTTCAAATAGTGTGGTGATGTGGGCCAGTAATCCCAGCACTGAGCAAGTAAAAACAAGAGAGTCAAAAACTCAAAGTCATCCTCAGCTACTTAGCAAGTTCAAGGCCAGTCCAGGGTTACCTGAGGCTGTGCCTGGAAAAAATGAACACAGAGAATATGTTTCTGGCTAGAAAGTAAGATCATCGGCCATATAAAGCTTGCTTGCTCTCATTCATTTGGGATGGGATAGCTGAGAATGGTCAGTGGAGTCCTCTGGAGCAGGTTAGCGGGAATCCCGGGGTCCTGGTTAGATCCTACCAGGCACTGCTTTCTTTTTTTCTGTCTTTTGTCTTTGGAGAGTATAGTGTAGTTGGCACACTCTGCTAATGATGTCAAATCCAGAGATACCTGTTAGACACCACAGTGATGGTGTGTGGGTCAATCAAACATTGCAAGCAACACTGCTGTCATGCTCTAGTTTGAACTTGGACTTGTTTCTCATACTTGAAAAAGGAAACGCTCGCTCCTGTGGTAGCACTGATTGTTTCGTCTTCAACCATGTTTGGCTTGGCAGTTAAGAAAAAAATCAACAGCAGGATTGTGTTTCAATGGCACAACACCTAATCCTCAGGCAAATGATTTGTCCACGCTTAATATAATGCTCTTAGGATATGTTGTTTGATGTAAACACTAGCACTCATAAAATGGTGCCTGAGGTACAGTGTTTCCCTCTAATACCCTATTTGTGTTGGCTTGTACACATCAGATATAAAGCCATTATGATAAAATACATCCCCTTTTAGCCAGATTAAAAAAAAAAGAATCGAGGCTTCAAGTCCACACCAAGAAAGGGACAATGCTGTAAAACTCAAGGCCCGTTATGATGTTTGTAGGTCAGCTTACATCCCTACCACCTTGGAGGAGTGTTAGTGAAATACTTAAGCTGCTTTATTTGTAGCTGACATCAGGCTGAGTCTAACTACAGTGACTGCCTTTGCCATGCCTTTTTAGCTGGATGGAGCAGCTGCCTCCAAACAGGGGCTAGCTAGCGAGCACAGGAAACCAAGCCCACAGCCTTGTCGGGCAGCAGTCTTTGGCCTCCAATAGTCTCTTGGCTTAACCTCTTTCTTCAGGACCCAATGCTGCCTAGGAGAATGTAAGGTTGGTAATAATGCTAGGCTTTTCAACACACAGCATCCATGTCACCGTTTCACTATGACGGATGACACACAGTCACCTCCTACCTCCTTTCCTGCTTGCTGTTCCTGTCACCTGTGGCTTGTGAGCTGTCCCTCCAGGTCCTGGAGAAGGATCACTGTGTAGGCAGGGTTATAGGAAAGACAGGAGGATCTGCCATTATCCTCATTTGATCGAAGGCTCCTAACCTGGCAGACACCCCCTCCACTTCCCTCTGTCTCTGAAAAGCAGACACTCAGGAACAGAGCCATAAATTGGCAGACAACCCCTCCACTTCCCTCTGTCTCTGAAAAGCAGACACTCAGGAACAGAGCCATTCAAAGTCTGTCCTGTGACTCACTCCACAATACCTGTGATTGACAGCCTTCTCTGTAATTGTCCTTCCAGCCAAAGGATGAAAAATCACAGGGTCTGAGTGGAAGTGCCTGACATTTTCAGCTTCCTGATCTGAACTCATCCGCTGTTTTTCAGGCAGTCTTGTGTGTGTGTGTGTGTGTGTGTGTGTGTGTGTGTGTGTGTGTGTGTGTGTGTGGAGAGCCTTCAATGAGATGTTGGATTTTTTTTACTTTTGTTTTTTAATTTGTGAGACAGTCTTAATTTATCTCTCTTCTTCTTTGCTCCTTCTCCCTCTCTCCCTATCTCCCTCCTATTTTTTTTCCTTTGATGAGGTTCTATCCCAGCGTCTCATCTATGCTAGACATATACTCTGTCACGGAGTCACGTTCCCAGTTTCTGTTTTTCCAAGAACAAACAAATTTGAAAAGTGAGGCTTGCACACTGTTTTGGACTTAAGAGTTTTTTTTTTGTTGTTGTTGTTGTTTTTCGAGACAGGGTTTCTCTGTGGCTTTGGAGCCTAGCACTCGCTCTGGAGACCAGGCTGGCCTCGAGCTCACAGAGATCCGCCTGCCTCTGCCTCCTGAGTGCTGGGATTAAAGGCGTTCGCCACCAACGCCCTGCCCGGCAATTTAAGAGTTTTGTTGTGAGACTATTTACAAGTGAATCAAGTATTTCATCTCACAAACAGTCTTGGCTTTGACTAAAAGTATGGAATGAAAATGAATGAGCACAGGGATTGGTAACAAAGAGGAGGAAGGAGGGGGGAGGAAGGAAAATGACACCCATCACCTGCCCCAGTCTCTCTGTACTGTTATACTAATAACTACCTCAGTCCCCTGGACACCTGTATGCTTCCCCCGCCCCCCAAAGCCATGGAGACACAGGAGACTAAGTGACTTTTGGCCAATAGTGGGTCATGTGATGCTGAACATTGTGCTATGGAGCCATCATTCTCTCCCTGCTGGTTCTCATTCTACCTTCCTGGGCCATCTGCCTGGAGGAAGGAGGTCTAGAGAAAGGTCTAGAAAGGATGTCTAGTCTATCTTAGGAACCTTGGTGTGTACAAGGTGTCTGGTAAGGTAGATGGAATCCAGGGCCTTGCACAGTCTGGACAAAGACTGAAGAACCATGAGCCATATCCTAGAGCTTAGAACTCTGTTATTTGTGTTATATCTAGAATTAGAACCCAGAGCCCAGAACTTAAGTGAGTGCTGAAGCCATGAGCTGGGGGGGGACTTCTGGAGACTTTGTGGGGGGCCTTCTTTTAGTTTAGACATGTAGCATGAGTAATAAAAACCCAGAGACAGATATTGGAGTTCAAGCTGAAGATCAGGGAAGCAAAGCAGCCAGCTAGTAGCTCTTGCCTCTACCAAGGCTGAAATGGAGATCCTGTCTTCCCTGAGCCTGGAAACTGAATCTCACATGAGACCCTTTACTTCTTCCTTATATATCTCTCTAGTGCTGGAATTAAAGGTGTGAGCTCTGTTTCTCTCTTATTCTGATTCACTCTCATGTAGCCCTGGGTGGACTCAAACTCACAGAGATCCTCATGCCTCTGTCTCCCGAGTCCTGGGATGAAGGGTGTATGTCACCACTGCCCGGCTTCTATGGCTGTGGCTAGCTTTGCATTCTGATCCTTCAGGCAAGCTTTATTAAGTCATAAATAATATCTCACCACATGGACTAGTGAGTTTTTTCTTCTCTTTGGTAAGGAGGTCACTCTAGAGGGTGCCTATGGGAATAAAGCTGGGAGCATATTCCTGAGTGAGAAGCAGAATTGGAGTTGAAGGTAGAAGTTTCCCTACTTGGTAGTGGCTGGAAAAGGGAAGGCTCCTGCTCCTCCCAAAAAACTACCTCTCCCATTAAATCCTAAGTATTTCTGAGCTTCCTTGCTTGTTAATATTTGGTCTGATGTCTGATGGTGTGGCTGTGGTGGTCAGCCTCTACCACCCCTCCTCTGCATCTCATCTAGCGATGGAGACTGAACAGACACCTAAATGTGGACCCAATGGTCACTAAGAAACCATTAGCTCCTTTTGCCAACGTCAAACTCTGTTATTTCAT